CCCGAGGCAGAGTTGCTCTGCCCCAGGCTTCCTGGAATCAGCCGCTGATCAGTTTCAGCAGCAGCTGACTTGGGGAAGCTTGGGGTTCTTAAGCTGAATCTGTATGTAAGTCAGAACTGGCGGTCAGTTTCATCAGCGGCTGAATCTGGACAACAGTTCCGACTTACATACAGATTCAACTTAAGAAGAAACCTACAGTCCCTATCTTGTACGTAACCTGGGGACTGCCTGTATAATGTTTGTGAAACTCCAGTGGAGCATTCAGATCAGATGATCAAACTGCATCTGGCCAATCAAATATATGTTTGCCATTTCTCATCTATGTGGAAAGAAAATGAATTAAGTATTTATGAAGAATTGCAGAACAGAGTTTAACTGTGTCTGTCACTTGATCAGTGATGAGAATTGAGACATCCCTGAGTAAACTTCTATTTGTAGCTAAGCTATTGTACCTATTGAAAAGCATGGAGGTGAGTGAGCACAAGCCTGCCTGTGTCTGAAGGCCCCTCTCACAGCCCAAAGAGCTACTTAAGCTGGGATTCAAATAATTACAGGGGACAACTTATGAATAACAGTCAGGAGTGAGGGTCATGTGTACAAAATCAGGTATCCAGAGGTTGTGTCAGTGAGGAGCATATAATGGGAAATAATATTACTCTTAAAAGGGAAAATGCTAAAATCTGTAACCTAAGAAAATGATATTTAAACTTAGAATTTCTGAATTTATAATTTTAGCAAATTATTTCTTTATTTAATGATGAAATCCACAATTACACTGATTTTTTTGACACATGCCAAGCTCATAGTTGTATGTTATAAGTCAGTGTTGAAGTAAATTTGGGTATGTCATCACCTTGCCTGGAATACAGAGAGAATAGTAAAAGAATCAAGAATCAGAATTATATCAAACAAATAATCATATCATCTCTAAATCCCACACTGAAATGTGTGTGCATGATTCCCACTGAAATCACTAGCAGTTTCATTCAGGTATCTAAAGACAGAATTTACTTGACATTACTTGTTTGGTTCCTGCATTATACATAGTTATTGGGGAAGCTAAGCCAATTTATACAGACTACTTTTTATACAACCTACTTTGCCAGAATAGAGGAAGTTTGTTGAATAAAACCCTAGCTATCATAATTATACCCTAGGATGTGTATGAAATCACTAGCAGTTTCATTCAGGTATCTAAAGACAGAATTTACTTGACATTACTTGTTTGGTTCCTGCATTATACATAGTTATTGGGGAAGCTAAGCCAATTTATACAGACTACTTTTTATACAACCTACTTTGCCAGAATAGAGGAAGTTTGTTGAATAAAACCCTAGCTATCATAATTATACCCTAGGATGTGTAC